CGCACCAATCAGTTTGAATTAGGGTCAGATCCTGTCTCTGTCTCCCGATTGGATGATTGTATTAAAGCTCTCTGATTGATTCAAATAAAACATCTATAACCAATCAGAGAGCTTTAATAAAATCATCCAATCAGGAGACAGAGTCAAGATCTGACCCTAATTCAAACTGATTGGCGTGGCTCGATGAATCAATTGCCGCTTTCAACCAGAGGTTTATTTTAAACCTCTGGAACCAGGGTACCGGAATTACTATATCAAATGGTAAATAATCAATGTTCCCTCATCTAAACATTCCTAACTCATCCACTCGTTCACATACATCAGGAGAAGAAAATCGCACCCAAAATTGCAACGGGCCTTAATAACCAATTCTACCTAATATTTGCTAATATATGTAGTCGAACTGCAATGTGAAGTGATAAAGAAAGAGTAAGGGGAAAGAGAAAAACACTCTGCATTGACATTGATCAGGCATGCTTTAGCCGTTCAGGAAAAATACCTTCAAAAATGACAGAACTCTGGCCATGGCCTCAGGTGCAACTTGGCTCCCGGTGCAACATGTTGCATGTTTAACCCTTGTATCTCTTGTCGGTGACCCTACTTTTTTATTTTATATTTTTGTTCTTCTATTTACACATCATATTAGAAAATAAGAGAAAAATCATTTCTACAACTTATAATATTTTACATTTTTCGCACATGCTTCCCAAAATATTATGTTCAAGAAGATGGGAAAAGACATCTTAATTTGCAGCACGACAATGCACGTCAATGGTTTTTGATTCACTAAAATACCATGATGTTTTCTTGTATATAATCACTAGGTAGACATTTTTAAGTCTTTTAATGGGATCCTTGTTAAAAAAAATCAATAACGGTTGGGCAATTGCGATTGTTCCTGTAACTCGTAAAAGGGTCAAGATGGTGCCATATGGGGGAAAAGGTGGCATATTGCACTTGTCATATCTTGGAAACGAGTTCGTGCATGAGACCCCAATTAAATTTGTTTCTGTTTTTACTATGAGCATATCATAAACTTCACCCCTGCCACCCTGGGAAGTTTCAGCAAATCTTCATTTTCCAGAACAATTACTGATGAATCAGCTTAACAGATACACGCCGGTTGATGCAAATTACGCTTCAAATCAAACTATCAATTTGAAAGTAATCAAAATATCTTAAAAACATATGTACTAACCTCACAGTAAAGTGCTCAACAAAACGTTTAACCTTTACTTTGACTTTCCTGTTGAAAACAGATAATTATTGGATTGCTAAATAATGTTAATGGAAAGCAAATCGGAACAATTCCGTTACGCAGAAACAACCAACTTTAATTGGGCTGTTACTGAACGCATCCTATTAATATGCATTCACAGTCAGTAGCAGCCGCAAGCATCAACAGAAACTGAACAAAAGAAGAATAAAACTACCAGTTAGGAAAGTAAATTGTTTTTAAATAATGTATTGTTTCATATATTTTGCCATTAATACTCTATTGTACACTAACAGGGCCTTTCAGAGGGGGGGGGGGGGCACTTTGCCCCGGGCTCCCAGTTTAAGATGGACCCCCAAATTTTCAAAAACTAAAAAAAATAATTTCGAACATTTTTTATATAAATAATCATGGTATGAGAAAAAATTTTCTAAACCAAAATTTTACATTTATTGATCGAAAAAAAATTGGGTTTGACCCATATTATTATTATTCCTATTATAATAGGAATTTGTCTGGAAAAAAATTTTAAACCTTAGTTTAACTAATGTTTGACTAGAAAATTTTTTGACCCTTTTTTAATGTCCAGAAAAAAAATTCCTTCCCCCCCGAAACAAAAATTTGCCCCGGCCCCCGAATTTCTCTGATAGGCCCTGTATACTATAAAAACAAATTTTTTTTAGGTGCCCTTTTTCATTATACAAAAGTGCCCCTGGAAGCTGGTGCCCCCCAATCTTTTGATGTTTCCTACACTCCTGGGCACTGACATATATTCGGATTTATGGATGCTAATCTACAATTAAAATATTTAATTTTTACCGGTCTGCAATGGAGACTGGACAAGACTGGCAGTATGACATTAGAGTTAACACCAAAGAGTTTAGTAAATTAAAGAGTTACGATTTTGGCAAGTTTTATGTAAATTCAGGGGGGGGAGTGCATGATGAATTGATCCAGGCCTGCCAAGGTGTGGTGCATAAAATGAGAGAGATTACAATATTTGTGATTTTTCTGTGTTGATGTGAGCTGACAATAAACATGAGCTCAACAAAATCTCTAACAGGGACTACGGGGTTGCTGTGATTGCTTAGTTTAATAGAGAACCTTGAAACTACCTTGAAACTAAGACTGCATTCAGAGCACTCTTGCTCAGCTGTGGAACCCATGACAATCGACATGTGTCTCGATAATTTGTTACTTTTTGCTGGCAGCACTCCCAACACTACTGTGCTGTAGGTAAAACACAAGGAATGCAGGAGATTTCTTCAAATCGTATTCATGTAGGTGGGAAATGATTAATGACTCCAAAATGCGGTCCCGAGTCTTGGTACTTAGGTCTGTTGACTGCAGGTTTATGAAGAACGATGAAGAAGCAAACACACCTCACAACAAACGGATTTTCTGGGGGTGCACACCCCCAAAACATTTTGCAGCCCTTGCAAAGTTTTCACACCCCACCTAGAGGAATCCCCCCCCCCCCAAGAAAATGTTGATAAATGTTCGTTGGATTAAATTACAGTATAAACTGTGATTGAAATAAAGATTACTACAAGTAAGACTAAAAACAAGGATTTTAAACCCCCCCCCCCCCCTAAATTATTGGCACCATCGAGAGCAAAACCTGAAATCCTTCTGTGCAACAAATTAAGCACAACTCAAAGGGAACAAAATATTCCAACCACTGATCTATATATACCACCGATATGTGCATATATCGAGAAAGTTGTCAATGGGAAAATGTTGGTTGGTGAGAGTTGCCCTGCACCATAATGCGCAACATCATCAAGGGAAAGTGTTTGTCAACAAAATTAAATATTTATTTAAAACAATAACATTTGATTGGTTCATACAACACCAAATTGACAAATTTACAAAACTCTGCTACAATATATAAATCTTGAGCATTTTAATTTTAACTTTTGATATTATGTTGGCAAAATACTCACCCTAAACTTGTGCTTGAATGATAAGCCGCGGCATCTTGATCCTTCCATGAACTCAAAGTTGCATCAGTCACAAAATGAACATGTTTCAGAGAAATTTCCGCACTCTCATTGTCATAATCAAGATCTTCTAACCAGATATCTTCCTCTTCATCATCATCGATAAGTTGACGTTCATCACTATATTTAAGATAACTGCTTGATAAAATCTGATCTGCGGCCATCGCGCAACTTGAACTTCCTTCGCTGCAAAGGAATGAATTGCGCAAGATTGCTTTTTGAATTTTGACATTTTTACCTTTTTAATTAAGGAAATTTAATGAACATGGAAATTTAAAGGAACTTTTGAATCTTTTGCCGCACTAAAAGTGAAAAACAACCTGGGAAATGCTAAGAAAACTAGCGATTTTACGATATTTCGTCAATTATATAAAGAGTTAATAATAATTAACGCTGTTTTGTTTAAAACGTTTCTCCATAATGATATTGTAATCAACCAAGCTATTGCAGAAAGTAATGAAATTTAAGGAATCTTAAAGCCGAATGTAAGGAATTTGAAATTCTCCGCAACAGGAAGTGCGAGCGAATTTAAAAGAAACAAAAACATTTGGCAAAATGGCGAAATCTAACTTGGCAGTGAGTGAGAAAGATATTCATCTTTCAGAAAATACACCTCCTCCAGCTTACGATGAAATCTTCCCTTCAAGTGATTTGCCACCACCATATCCTCTGCCATATGAAAAACATGAAATATTTGACAAGACACTCTTGCCGGACAGTCAAAATATTGTTTCGTCATCCCAAGTTCGCGAGGAAATACGCTGCTCGACATGTTTTGATCCAATACGAGAGGATACAGACAAGAAGAGGTCTGGTGATTTAGTACAAGATGGGATAAAGGTGTGAAAAAAGATTTAGTCAGAATTATGGACTTAGTATTCGGTTAATGCTGCTATAATTTGATTTTAAAAAAATGTCATGCAGTTGTATTGTTGTAATATAAAACTCCTAACACCATGCCACAGAATAGGCTACACACAATCCCGACTTCTTGCATTTTCCTATGATTTAACAATGATTTTGGCGTAACCGTAATTTGTCATGATAATGCTGACGCCATGGTCCTAGCCAGTGTGCTTTGAGAGGCATTCACCCCCCTGATAATATTCAAAATGGCAGACATCCAGGGGGTAATGCCTCTCATAAGCGCACTGGCTAGGACCATGGCGTCAGCATTTTCATGACGAATCATGGCGTGGCAGCGGTTACTCGAGTTGACCTTCTGTGTGTCTTTATTCTGTGACCATGCATCATGTCAATAATAATGCAAAGGTCTACACACATAAAAACGGTGATAAAAACCTGCAGCAACAGCTTATTGACAACTTGCTAGAAAATTGTTAACTCAACAAACTTGTGTCATGTTGTTCCAAGTTGTGAGTGACAATCCCGTTGGAACTTGCTGGAAATTAGCAGCAAGCACATCTTACAACCTCATTCCCAGGCGTTTCTCTCTTATGGCAGGTTGCACATCTTTTTGACAAGATGTGAGAGTTTTGATATTTTGCTGCTACTGCGATTGGGTTGTTCCAGAAAAGATCCACACTCCCTCCAATTACCAAATTGAATGTGCTTCTTCAAAATTTTCATCCCACGCCTTCTCCCCACCCTGTTTAAAAACTTCTTATTTTGAAATTTTAGAGTTACCATTATGAATGCTACATAAAATCTCGAGGTCCTAAATGTGATCATTGTTGTTTTGCTCTAATCCCATGGCCAAACAAACGTCTATCAGGGAGGTGGGTGACTTATGAAAATAAACGATACCATGAAGAGTGTTATGAACGGGAAGCTGGACCAAGATGCAGTCTATGTTGTAATGTAATTGTCGAGAAACCACAAGAAGGCTATTCAGGAAATTGGAGGTGGCAAAATGGAAAACGATATCATGATGAATGCTTTATGAAAACAATATACAATGAAATCAGAGCTAAAAATTCATAAGGGCCTCATATATAATGCCATGAGTATAAGTCAGTATATCATAAGAAAGTAATGATTGTAATCAGGGCCACCAAGGGGGAGGGGGATAGGAGTGTCCCCAGCTGAAAAGGTGCCCCCAAAACAACAAAGATTCTTCAAACAAGATTCATTGCTTAATCAAGAATATATATCCTAGTTGCGTCAGTGTCAGATAATATGCAGCAATAACATAATATAGTATATATTGTAAAAACTGCTCTTGCAAAGTTTTGGTCTGCACCCCGCGCAACCTCTTGGCGGCCCTGATGATAATTGATTAGCAGCCTGATGATAATTGATTAATTAATATATAAACTTTTTAGCTGCTCTAATATTTATAGCATAAAGATTAGAGCAGCTAAAACTTTTCAGTAAATACTTGAAGTCTTGTTTACACTGCAAACTTTGACTTGAGCCTTGCTTTGGTCTTCATTTTGGTAAACAAACTTTGGCTTAAGCTTGGCCAAACAGTGTAACTGTACCACAATTACCTTTAGCTGACCTTGACTCAGGCCAGATCCAGGCTCACAGTGTAAATAGGGATTTAAAGAAATTATGGCACATGTCCAGTATTTCCTTGTGCAGGTTGTTGTCTTAATATATATGTATCATATGTAATATCTAGAGTAGGTGTATTGTAAGAAAACTGTCAGAGATGTGCAGTTCACCACCATGTTTATTTTGTGATGTGTCCGCCACTGCTATAAAATAACAATGACGTAAATGTCAGTTAAATATTACTATAAATGAGTAACAGAAAATGGTGTCAGTCGGATCCCATAGTAATGTTCTATCATGAATGTATGTATTATATGTTATGCAGGAATTGTAATCATCCACCGTATATGACAAACACAACGATAAAACCAAGCTTTAAAATTAAACTGAAACGGGAACTGCTTCAGCAATTTCTAGATAGTTAGCCTAAGGGCATGCATAACCCGCGAACAGGCATACTCTGGGAACGAGATTGGATTTCCGTCCAAGACGGGACTGAAACTCGTTTTGATATAAATTCGGTTAACGACGGTCAACGGGTTTTCCGTCTCAACTTTTCCGTCTAACTTTCCCGTCTGAACGACGGGGAAGTTAGACGAGTTTCTCGTCTTAGACGGAAATCCGTCTCAAATTTATATCAGACGAATAAATCAAGACGGGTTTCTGCTGGTAACGTTCAAAAGAGGCTGGGATGGAGGGTCTCCTATTTTTTCGGGTTTATCCGCCAGATGGTTTTTATATGCATGGTTTGTCGTATATAAATAGTGGCGACAAAAGCGTGTAGATTTAAAGTTCCTTACCCAAAGTTTGCAGTTTATTTATCATAAACTATAAAGTCAACGCCTTATTATAAACACGCATGAAGTCGCGATATGACGACTGACAAAACTCATTAGAAGAATATATTGTTTCCTCACCTTGCATGCTTGCCGCTGGCGTAGGAATTTGGTGTCCCCTGCACACTTCACTTTCCAAAAGACTTGTCGAAAAGAATGTGACCGTACTCATGAAATACCAAAATAACGTATGTTCATATAAGCACGCTCATATGACATGTACAAAAATCCAGTATGCTCACCAGAATGCTCCAGAGTATCGGTTACTGGATTATGGTACACTACATTAGCGTGCTCATGAGCATACTGGATTTTGGTACATATATGAGCGTGTTCATGAGATACCAAAAGGATGAATGCGCATATAAGCACCTCATACATATATGTACTGAAAAATCCAGTATGCTCATGAGCACCATAGTATCTACCAAAATCCAGTATCCTCAGCAGCTAGCATGCTCATGAGTATGATACTCGATTTTGGTACATATATGAACGTGCTCATGAGCATACTGGATTTTTGTATCTTTTGGTACCTCATCAGCACGGTCATACATGTACCAAAATCCAGTAGGTTCATGGGCACCCTCGTCGTATATACCAAAATCCAGTATCCTCATATAAGAAAGCCCATGAGTTTGTTCCTGGATTTTGGTATATATCCGAGCGTGCTCTTGAGCATACTGGATTTTGGTAAATATATATATGAGGTGTGCTCGTGAGAAACCAAACCAAAGTACAGTCATAAGCACGCTCATACATGTACCAAAATCTCAGATATACCAAAGTCCAGTATCCTCACGAGAATGCCCATGAGTATGTTACAGGATTTTGGTATATAAAGTACGAACGTGCTCATGAGATACGAAAAAAAGTATATGGACATACGTATACCATAATCCAGGAGGCAGGATGCTCATAAGCACTCTCGCATATACAAAAATCCAGTATCCTCATGAGTATGTTCATCAGTATGTTACTGGATTTTCAGGATTTTGGTGCAATGTATGAGCGTCCTCGTGAGCATACTGGATTTTGATACATATATGCATGACGGTGCTCGTGAGTTCTCTATAGTCTCGTACTAATGGTCCCCAAGCGAAAATATACTAATAAATATAAGTTTTATCTAGTATTAAGCTCACGTGAAATACTGTATTATGGTTGACATTGGTTGACATGATTTGCCAATAAGCTTATGAATTATTATTGAGTGCTCGTGTATCATGTATATATAGACACAAAGATAAAGTCCATTTATATGCTATAAAATCAACGAGCTTAAGAAAAAAAATGAACAGAAAGATTTTTTACATGTATGTTTTCCCTTTCCTACTGAATTGAATCGATTAGTTAAATTTGCGCATCATAACGCGACATTAATGAGCAGCTCACACGATAAAAAAATATTCCAGCTTTAGCTATTGATGATGACTGACTACAGAGTAACAATAGTCTAGGACCTGTATATGAGTTTGTATGCATTTCATTTAGGACAGATAATCTCAACTGTTTTAGGGTAAGTTGACCATGACGGTCAACATGGTAACGCTGCCCGAACCCCAATCCGGGACGAAACGTCCGAAACTGACCACACCCAAAAACGACGCTTTCGCCATACGGCTATCTACCAAACCATAAAAGCTTTGGCTATTCTGAGGTGCTTACATGGTTCAGAGATGGTACTATTGGGGGTGGTCATTGGTAAGTGTGAAATGCCTAGCACTTATATTTCACATGAAAATGGCCATGCAATAATCATAGTTAAACGTCAATTTGTGGCTTGCAAATTCAGATAAACAGCAGTGGACTTACATTACCTTTTTCCCTAAATCTTTTTTATATAAACATAAATGGTACTTATTTAAATATATTATCACTGGTTTGGTGTAAAATAGTTAATATTTTCTGACCGAAATAATAATTTGAAATGTGCCTACCTCCTGCAAATGGACGTATTTGGCCAAGTTCTCCACTTTACTCCGCTGTTTATCGGCGACCTCGTCGACATCCTACAAAAAATGTAAATCATCTCAGACATAATGGTATCAAGAACATTTTAAACAAGTTTCAACTTGGTTTCAAGCACAGAATAAAGATCAGTAACAGAAGGGCAACTCAGCGGTGCAACGTGTCCTCGTTTTTTTATGCAAAAATATGCAGTTTACTCAAGGGAACACAGCAGTCCGATATTTGACTTCTTTATTTAATAAACTATAAACATGATCGTTCACTTACTTGTTTTTTGGTCTTTCTATATGCATATTTTTATGTGATTCCCCGCTTTAATATTCATATATTCATATAAAATACAGCGTGCGATTCGTTGGCAAATCAAAGCAAATTCAAAATTGTTTTCAAGCGTATTCCCGCTTTAATTGGTATAGCGGGCGCGGCTGTTTTCTTGATTTCACCGAAGGAATTCCGAAGGAATTCCGAGGGACAAGACGAAGGGGGAAAAATAAAGGGGAAGTGAAACTTCGGTCAATAAGCCAATCAAAAGCCAGATTTGGTGGTTTCGGATTCTCTCGATGCTCGTAGTACGTTGCCTGGTTACATTCGTCAAATGGCGGGAACTTGATCCATTGTTTCATTCACAGTGTGAAGGTCTACTGGAAACGTCTTTGAGACAGTTTTACAAAAGCGAAATACAGCAAACTATTCCCTGAGATGTTAAGTTTAAATCAACATAAGGTCGAAATGTTAGTTGACGAAGGATATAGTGTATTTGTTACAGGAAAAGGTGGTAGTGGAAAGTCATTTTTCCTTCGTAATATAATTGAGAAGCTTCGGCGAAGTGGCGATCATTGTTTTGTTACAGCGCCTACTGGGATTGCGGCCACAAATATCGGTGGATCGACGGTTCATTCCTTCGCTGGGATCGGAACTGGTTCAAAGTCAGCTCACGAACTAATCGCCACAATAAAGGCAAACGAAGAAGTGCTTGCGAGATGGGAACAGTGCAAAGTACTGGTCATTGACGAAGTGTCCATGTTGAGTCGAGAGCTGTTCGAGAAACTCGAAATGATAGCTAGATGCTTGAAGAGAAATGCGAAACCATTTGGCGGAATTCAGTTGATTCTCTCGGGAGATTTCTACCAGCTAAGACCAGTCATACAGAGGGATGCAAGTGATAAAGAAGTTTACTGCTTTGCTAGTCCTATGTGGAATTGTTGTGTGGATATTTCGGTATTCTTTGATGAAAACTATAGACAGCATGAACCTGAATTAATACACCTTCTGGAAGAGTTTCGTATGTGCGGGTTATCACAACGTTCTCATCAATTTATAGAAGAATCTCTTACACGACCATTAGACTGTAATCCTTTAGATGTTGTCCGATTGTATTCGCACAGGGACAATGTTTCGCAAGCAAATGATGAATGCCTGGCACTCCTAGCAGGTGAGCCACACCACTATTGCTCAGATGATTCTGGGAATGTCAATTCACTAAAAAAGTGTTCTGCACCAAAGAATTTGGCAGTTAAACTGAATGCTAGGGTAGTTCTATTGAAGAACTTGAGCATCGGATTGGTTAATGGGTTACGTGGTACTATCCATTCATTTGTAGATGGTTTTCCATTTGTTGTGTTTGACAATGGCAGTCGTAAGTTAATTAGAGAAGAACTTTTCACTGTTGAAGATGAGTGTACTGTTGTGGCAACTAGGAAACAAATACCATTGGACCTTGCTTATGCAATGACCATCCACAAGAGTCAGGGTATGGCATTTCCACTCCTAGATGTAGATTTGTCTACAGTGTTTGAAGCTGGACAAGCTTATGTTGCTGTTTCCCGAGCGACAACTATTCATGGTCTGAAGATCTCTTCATACAGAGAGAGAATGCCACAGGTTTCTCAACTCGTCATTGACTTCTATGCCAATGGTGTGGTTATGGCCAGTGACCTGAATGTGGATGAAATTGTGCATTCAGAGAAGAAGCGTGACATAACAACCCTCTCTTTAGTCAGCATTGATAAATGCATATCGGTTTCTAGCACTGCAAAAGAGCCTAAGCCATTTGTGGTCACGGAACAGTTTTTGTCACATAAGCTACCTCAAGGTGTGATGGACAATGTCCACAAGCTGGTAAAGAAAGAATCGGAGATCAGCGATGACGTTTCAAGTGTGTTGAAAAAGCTGAACTTGAAAGAAAACGAGCAACATGAGTTGTATTCTGACTCAGAGATGTGTTTGGAGGATTATTGCACCTGGCTGTGGCAAAGTTATGAGCAGATCCACTCTACTGACAAAAGTGGAACATTAATTGACAGAAAAAAATTTTCTGGTGTTACAAAGCAGCTTCATAGTCTGTACAGATCTTCACAGTTACTCCAGAAGTGGAAAGATTGTTCAAAGTCAGATGTAGACATTGGAATTGGTGGAAAGGATCGGAAAGCTGCAATAGTGTATGCTAGAGCTCTGTATGCAGAATTTGTTAAGCAACAAGCTGCCAACACACGAAATGACTATTTCAATGACCCCATGCAGTTTGAGGAAGGCCCAGTCCAATCCACTACAAAGGAAGCAAGTGGCAAAGTCAGAGATATTAGTGGTTGGGTCATACATGAAGAAATAAAGTCTTGCATTTCATATGTCAGTCAGCATAAGTGTTCGAAGTCCCAAAAAGTTGTCAAAGAAGTTGCACACAAACGAAAAATGAAGGCAATGCTCGACCAAATGAAAGGGTGTAAAGATGATGTGTTGGAAAAGTCGAACTATCCCGAATCACTGGAGCATATTGCTCTATATGATAAGGGTGGCAAAACATATGTGCCCGATGTGGTATTTGAATTCTTTATGGATGTTTCATCAGTTGCATCTGAACTTCTTTCAAACAAAAACATTCATGCTTTCAAGCAAGATGCTTTGTCTGTGGTTTACACCAAAATAAAGAGTAACGTTGAACTGCAAGAAAGCTTCCTGCGCCTTACCGATAATGATGTCGAAGGCAAATCGTGTGATGGAAATCAAAATGATGATGAAGAAACTGTCTTAAATGACATTGCATGTGAGGACATTATTGAAGATGACATGACAAATGAGTTGCTTTTACCTGTTTCCGATGATGACTTAGAGTGGATGGATCTTGGGGAACCTTCTGACTGTCCAGAGGTGCATGAGAGTGATGGAGAAGATTCAACTCCAAATGAAGTCGCTGGCAAACTGGATAATAATCAACCCATAATTTCAGGTAGGACAACAGATTTTCTTGTCATATTATTTTTTGTTAGGTTATCAAACTGGAAATTCATTTGACTTGAAGGCAAATGAAATTACATGTAATGTGATTAAAGGTTTGTGAAAGTCCCTTGTGTCTTACTTTGCTCTTGTATGCGACTTCAACAAACCTCATCTTGCATGGAGATGTGCTGTACCTGTAATCACTGATTGATCTCATATTTATCTTATAACCAGAATAAGCCTGTTCAGAGGTTTGGTTTGCAATGGCTTTGGCAAAATTTATACAAAATTTAACATATGGAAATTATGTTTTAGAGATTTATTTCACATGCAACAACTAACATAAATTTTTAATATTTTCATCATATATTACTCAACCACAGAAAGTTGGTCATTTTCAAATTTTTTTCAATACTGAGCAGAATCAATCAGGAATATTGTCTGAAACATGTATACATATAGGTGTACGGGACTGGGGGGCAGCTACCCCCCCCCCCCAAAAAAAAAAAAAGATTACAAAGTCGAAAAGTCGGGCAAATGTTCAACAAAAGTCGGGCAAAAGTCGGGCAAAAAGTAGTCAAAGCAATAAAATCTCTCTTAATAATAACCCCAGTTTGTTGGGCAAACAAAGCCAGTTGGGCAATATTCGCTTCACAGTCGGGCAATTAATATTGGGTTATTATAAAAATAAATGGGACAAATTCTGCCAATTTTGCGGGAAATTATGTAAATTTTGTGATGTTTGGGAAAATTTGTTCGATGTTCCGGAAAATTTTGGTATGTCCGGAAAAATTTTTGGACCCCTAAAATGGTACACTGAGCGAAATTTTTATTGGGGGGGGGGGGGTCGCCAAAATTTATTGTTCCGGAAAAAAAATTTCGGCACTGGTCGGGCACAATCTGAAAAAGTCGGGCAAATTTCTTTCCGCCCCCCTAATTTTTGCCTTCCCGTACGCCAATGTGTATACATGCCTGTATAACATGGCAACCTCAGACATTCGTGTTATATTTTGTTAAGGGAATGAGGCAAGCAGCGATATGGTCTTCCATGATAAAGCTACAGCTGATCTGTTCAATCGAATGATACGGAGGTTTTGCAACATGATGGCATCTGAAACGATCAGAAAATTTAAACGAAATCACCAGCTGAAAAAAAGTAGTGCTTTGCGGCAAGGTCTTCAAGCAAGGGGAGCAACAAGGAAGAAGAAACAGTCGCAAGGAATTCTAACAATCCCAGTGATAATTACAGACCCAGTTCCAAAGTCGGCTACTCACTTTTCCCTGAAAGCTCTTGCCTATAAGGGAGACACTGTCTTTGAGTGTTATTCTCATGTTGACATGAACTTCATCATGATGGGATACAATATTCCACCTTCCCGTGAGAATAAGAAGACCAAGTCAAAAAGATTGGTGGAGACTTTGAAGATTTCTGAAGTAATGCCAAGTCCAGAAAAGTTAACCCAAACATTGTATAATGATATGAAGACATCGAGGAACACATCCAATCCAGTAAACACACAAGAAACAGAGCAAGGAGCAGAAAATATGGGACATCCAACAACATCTACAAACAAAGGTATGGTACAATGCATTGCATCCCAGTTTGTCTGGCATCACAGAGTGAAAAATAGAGAACATTGCTGCCCACTGGGTTAACATGATGCATGGCAGATTGTTTAGTAAACCCATTGAGCTGTAGCAGATAGATAGAAAACTTTATTTAGACACTGACCCCGTCACCCAAAGTGTATTATTTAAAGGCTATTTACAAAATATGAGCTAGTTTAAAATAACTTGTTAGCATTAATGTCTGCAATCAACTACATGTAGTAGAAATCTATTTACAGGTTTATCTAGTATTTACATATAAAATCAATGTGAGTAGTGATTTTATTTAGAAAAGAAGAAGGGGACAACTCCCTTATTTTGTTTGGAATAGAGTTCCAAAGATATGCACCATCAGACATTCGACACTCCAGTCTAGTGTCTTCATCAGGAGTGATCTGAATGTTGAAATGAGTTCCCTTTTACGCAACATACTCTGATGTCATCGATGACATCATCTGAGAATCCCAGGTATAATTACAGGATTTCACAGTACTGTATGTCTCATAAAAGGGAACTCCTTTCAACATTCAGATCACCCCTGATGAAGACACTAGACTGGAGTGTCAAAAAGTTGGGTCGTGAACTGTAACTTTTTAAAATTATATTCATATGACTGACTACTTGAAATTTTTCTAAGAGTATGGTTTGTAATCTCACCCTTATAGACAGAGTTGAAGAAGCTACAATTTAGCTTCATATGACTTTCAATCAGCTAATTCACTTACAGTTATTTTTTTATAATTATACTTTAATTGAAGGTGGTAAAATCATTCTTAAATTGTTTATCATGGAATGAGATACTGTATAATATAAGAAAGCTAATTATTTCATATATTTTAAATAGGAACATCAAGAAAATGTTCATATTGTCATGAGTGTGGCCATCGTAAGAGTTACAAAGGGAAGATTACCTGTCCTTCACTTGCTAGCATTCAAAATGCTAAAGATTGAACAAATGGTAACAATATATATATATATTAAATATTAATAAAACCATGTTTGTAGGTATTCTTTTTGTTCTCACAAGGCCATTAAAAACTAATAGAACTCATATAACTAAATGACCTTCGTCAAGCAGGATGTTCAATAGTTAAATAATTGACCTCTTTACATACACTATGACATATAAACATTGTGCATCTGTATTATCTTTATTCACAAGGCATTTATTTATCTTAAAGATAATGTTAAGTCCATTCTGTGCATGTGTTATTGTTGTGTCCCCACATCTAAACATTGCCCAAATTTTGCATTATTTGCCATCTTTTAAATTGTAAATGTCTTCCATATTGATTTAAATGCCCAACAAAGGAGAATGATTTCAGATATTAACATTTTAAAATTCAACATGTTTTTAAGAATATAGTCTGTTGAAAATGTAAACAAATCACATTGTTTATATATGGACTTGACATTACCTTTAAACAGTGGTCCAAAATATTGGTCAGCTCTATACATTCATCCAACCGGCCCCAGGCATGTTTTACATACATTTATATTTAGACTGTCTAAGTTCTGTTGACTGTACAATTTCCTTTAGATCGCTTGTATTCCTGCATTTGTATTATTCCAAGTGTTGAATTTTCTAAAAATAAAAAATATATCATATATTATGCTTGTGATGTTACTCTGAGTGTATATCCACACCGGGCAAGCTTGAAAAATATGCCTGACCACAGTGGGAATCGAACCTACGACCTTTGGAATACTAGCCCAATGCTCTGCCAACTGAGCTACGCGGTCTGGTCGGTTCGAGTATGTGATATTTCGGAACAGAATCTAGTTCCTTCGATATCAATATTATCTAATAATGACCGACCAGACCGCGTAGTTCAGTTGGCAGAGCATTGGGCTAGTATTCCAAAGGTCGTAGGTTCGATTCCCACCGTGGTCAGGCATATTTTTCAAGCTTGCCCGGTGTGGATATACACTCAGAGTAACATCACAAGCATCATATTCACCTGAGTACATTACACCAACACAGAAAAATCATGATATCATATATTCTTTTAAATATATTCAACACAAAGTTTTTGTTTGTAAGGTAATTTCTCGTTAGCATGAAATTATGGAAAGAGTATAGAAACATACAAGCTACAATTTTGTATTTCAAGTCTGGAACATACAAGTATCTGTCATTGCATTGTGGATATACTGAAAATGTTATGCACATTACTTACCAGTTTGCATAATTGTTGGATTTGTAGTTTGTCCATTGTGTGCCCTCTGTTCCCCAAAGAAATTCTCCAGTTTATCTTGGTTAGTGTAACATGCAGAAACACTTGACCCAGGGTACATTTTGAATAGAATGTTGCAGTAAACTTCAAAACCAACAATCATGGAATAAACATCAAACATCGTTTTGTAAGACATGAACATTTTCCCCTTCTCTTTCAGTGATATGCCATCTGTACTCATTGCCTGGGTCTCCCACCGTTCAAACCATTGAAGACATTGTTTGTTTTCAACAAATCTAGCATCTTCGCTTGACCTGCAAGGGATAATTAATAAATCATTACAAATTAGAGATTCCATCAAAGACATTGTCTGGAAGCTTTGGCTTATTGTAAAAGCTAATGATCCATTAAACTGATGGGAAAGTGATCTAGCAGAAGCCTACATGCATTTGGTTAACCGATGATTTCATCGCTGATGTTACAGTGTGGAGCATAAAAGGGAACTTGTTTCAACATTCAGATCACCCCTGATGAAGACACTAGACAGGACTTGCATTGGATAATGGATATTGAACTAAATCGTTAGTTTTATGTTCGCATATGTAACAGTTAGAATATTTGTAGAATGGAGACGAATGACAGAAGTGATCCTTGTTAAAGAATCCCTTCACACATCTCTTTCTGGATAAAATCAACTCTAAATTCGGCCACACCATTCATAATAACGTAAATACATGTTACTGTATGTTAGCTTACCTATATGGTTTTTTGTTTTTGAAGTTCTTCAGCAAAACACTTGTAACTTTGAGAAGTTCAACAGTCTTCTCTAGGACATCAGTGTGGTCTCCTTTCTTCAACAAGTGGACTTGATAGTTCTAGATGTAATGAGAAATATATTTTAATGACAAGTCAGGTTGCATTAGTTGTTCCCCAAGATTGGTATGCTATAAATGTACAAACAAATCAAGATTTTATCATACCTGTACAACCTCTACCATTCGCTTTCCCAGCACATCGTCGGCAAGATAGTTGCGCATTTTGTCAGCACTGCCAGGCTCAAAATGCTGTGGGGTAAGGTACTTGAATGTCTGGATTGGGTTGTACTCGACATCGTACATGTAGGCTTCCTTCAGGTGGGACCAAAGAATCTCTTTACCATCGAGTTTGAAATGCCTAGGACTTTTCCCATTGGTTGTACTTTTTAGTAAGTTGTTTCTCACCTTTTTGAAATTGTGCTAAAATTAAAACAAAAATTGATAAATTACTTTATGACAATATACTGTACATACTGTAGTGTACTAAGATTGCACTAATATCCTATTTAGCTCCACAGATCTACATGTAGGTAGCATAACTTACACATACTGTACAATCACAAAAGTGGTAAAATTGAGTGCCGATAGAATTTGTATCAACCAATTGGCCAGAGGAAACATTTTAAGGCAAAACAATACGTAGGATATTGGTATAATGCTGCACTACCTACCACTGTCGGTAGGTGAAGATATACCAACAAACATGGTGATGCTTGTTTATATTATACCCTAATGTGAATGAATGACAATACTTACCGAAGGGTCTACCATAAACACCAGTGGTTCCCCAGTATATATGTTTGTGGTCGTAAAGTTTTCTTTGCCCGCATCATCGTCAAAGTGACATTGAATAAATGTACGATTTGCTTGTGCACCATCACATATCGCAAGTAAAACTTTAAAACCAAATTCCGCCAAATCATAAACAGCATTCCAGAACTGATGGTATAGGGTGGTAGGATCAACTTCAATTGTTGGGAAATAGCAAACAGGAAATTTAAAGCCAGTTGAACCAATGAACATAAACTGGAGGAGGTGTGTTGCTATAACTACCTCATCCTTGCCTGTGGAGAGAGGTAGTATAAGAATTGTTAGAAATATAAGGATATGTCAGATACTGCTTTACTAGATGATACCAGATAGTATTCCATTGGATATCAGTCACTCAGGGATTCAAGAAAACCGGATATTTATGGTGGAATACTAAAAATTTAGACATTTTTAACCAAGTACCTGATAGTACTGGATGCCAGTATTTTGTATATCCCTATATAGAATTCTTTCTCACTACATTGAACATTAATTGGTATTTTGAAATATTTGCTTAGAGTAATTATATCAGCATATTGTTTTCACATGTATGAGGTTACTATATGGTCAAATTGGTGTAGATACAATACCAATAATGACCAAAATTGCAGCCAAATTTCCACCAATAATTGGTAGACTAAATATTTTTTTTGAATTAATTTAGCCTCTTAATTATTTTTTAACAAATTATTGCTCCCACCACTTCAAATTATGATCACCTACAATGTCTTGAAAATGTACACTCGTTGTAATACCTGTTTGTAATACTTTCATGTCTTCATATAGATCACCAAGGTTAACCACGCCAACAATTTCGAATGACTCACCCTTTCTTCTGAGTTGCACATCATCCTTTAAAACAAATTAACTGCATGTATCAATCTCACTGCAGAACTGATATATAAAATCACAAAGCTAATTAACACTCAATAATTGTTCAGCTTGCTATCTGGGAATTCAATCTGGGTCATTAGTTATGTACAGTACCAGACCTGTCCATATTAATGTATATATTTTAATACATTTTTATATTGGGGATGTACTATATTGTGTTAAAATAAAGTGTATAGTGAAATCTAAAGTGACAGACAAAAGTTCAGGCCTCTATAATATTTTCGTGCTAGCAAAAATTTGTGTTCTATTTCAAAAACTTTACATAAAAACTAGGCATTTTACTTGTGCATGCAGTGCCTGCCAATTTTCGATAAATAAAATGATTGCCTGATGAATTTTCCTATTGGTATTAAGAGTACAGTAATGTATAATTACCTGAATGGACATTTCATCAAATGTGATGTATCCACAGCAACCTGCTGGAGATACATCTTGTGTTTCTGCCAATGACTTCATATGTTTCAACATTTCAATGTTTCTGCCTGGTTTCTGCAAAATAATTAAAGTGACATTCATGACAATTAGCAAATTAAACACTGTACATTATCAGATAGCTTATACTGTGACTGTACTTTGATACAGCAATAAATTGTGTTCGACAATTTCACTAGAAGTTCCAACACTATCTGGTGGAAAAATTAACAACATTCTTAAGTTTATGAATTTAGAAAAATATACAGTGGAACAATCTACAGTTTTTAGATATAGTCTAATATGGATATGTAATTAAAATTGTGTCCAACCAACCTGTTTGATCTTGCCTTTGTGATATTGAAGCAGTCTTGTTGAAGGCAGCTTTATGAAGCCTGAATCCTGCAGAATTTCATATGCCTGTTTAGAGCGGTGCCATAGAGCCAAGCATGTTTTGATGATACTATAATGAAAAATAATTGGTACAAAAAGAAAAGTGATTTTATAAGTTTCGGTCTCCAAGTGAACATACTGCACTATAATTGTTAGTTCATGTTGATATTATAGGTAGAATAAATTAATGTCTACAATACGTTAGTCTGTGTGGCAGGCCCCCACAGGCACGGCAATGTGCCTACCATGATTGCCTATCCCATGGGAAGCTGCCATGCAGACTACATTTGGGTCTATATATGGGCATACATGTAGTAGATATAAAAACACCTGGGAGCTATAGAAACAGATAAAATACACGACTGTTTAAATATACCAGGGTGCAGCAGATATTATATCCAACCAGATGGTCATAATATCACTATCTGACAATTAATACCTGGCAGGTGTAGTTGTTCATTGTGCATCTAATATTACCATGACTGACTGGAATAAAGTGCACCCCTAGAGTAAGTTACTCACTAAAGTACTTACAGTGGATGCCATCTTATAGCCCTTTTCTTTGATTTTTTGGATATTACATCACGTTGCATTTCCCAGAACAGTGATAATTTGGGATCATCTGGGAACATTTCTTTATCAGGGTTTTTCTCATCCACTTTATCCAGCTCCTTAAACATCACCATAAGGTCATTGCCATCATCCACAGCCATGTGCTTCATTTTCTTTTCTTCTGCAGCCTTAAATTTCCAATATTTCACTCTTTTCTCAGCAGTTATCCTTCTTCTCTTTTGGTCATTCTCCCTTTCAGAGATCTCTTCATTTGAAAGGAATCGTTTGTTCACTTTGCTCTTGCTAGGTTCAGCCAACCTTTCTGATTCTTCCTGCAGAATGTTATTGAAGCGAACCAGTTTAACACTCATGTTTCTTCGCAAGACATTGCAATTTCGGCAAAGTGCTCCTGATGAAGGAGTGTCTATGAAATATTCACAAGTTAATGAGCGCCTGTTGAGGGAATGTTGTTCATTTCCCTTCTCATCTTGCTCGACCACTTCCTGAATTCTACCAATGCTTTCACCACACAGATTATGTACATTCGTTTGCAGTACTGAAAATGCTTGATTTTTCACTCCTTCACATATTTTGCAAAATTCAACCATCTTTAAAATTTTCATGAAGTCAGGAAAAGATGCAATTTTGTTCGGTAAAGCCATCAGAAATGACAAAAAGTTTGCTTTATGTCCTGCATAAGTTGCCTCCCACGTGAGGTCTTTGAAAACTTTAACAGTTCTGAAGACTTGCATTCCATCAAACAACTTATTGTCATACATACAAATCTCAAAATATTTGTCACAAGTGAATTGCACATTCCAAAATGTATTCATGGACCCACTGTTATTTTGAATAAAATATTTGCTAAAATCAGCTTGGAGATCTTGTAAAATGTATAAACATGAAGGAGGAAATATGTTCTCTTTGTCATGATCCACATTGTTTACATCAATGTTTTGGTAGATATTTCTAATATAATTGTTAAAGATTAATGTTGAAACAGAGACACATATTAAACACAATAAATTGATTGATACTATAGAAATATACATGCATGCAGAAACCCATTGCCTTCAGAATACTTCACGTATTGGAATTGAAATGGTTTGTTTTAGATACTAAATACAGTAGGCTAGACATACAGCAGGTAATTTGTGTATTAAGGTACAGATTAGTGCCCTCACTTTTCCACATAATTATAACTAACACAAACATATAATTATTGACATTATTTGGTTTGTGCCTGTCCTTGCAAATTCTGCATTAATTAAAAGTGAGCTAGGGGTGGTGAAAAACAGGCCTAGCTGACAAGTAAGTCTTTTTAACCTGGGGCTGGGACAACATTCCTGTTGAAGCCTCCCCCTATACTTAAGCCTGGGGCCAAAACAGATTTATTTTAAAAGTTTACAGCCAATCACGACCTAGACACCAGACCACTTGGACGTTGCACGGGACACATTTGCATAATGCGGAGGTCGGTCCCCACATATAATATTTATTTATAGAAAATCAGAGTTTGGGATTTCACTGAGGTCCCATTTCCCGGTACGAATAGCCGAGCGGAATTAGTACCTTGCCCAGGCTTATGCATACCGCCGCTCCGCAGCATAAAGGCGAGGGCATGAAATTGCTATTAAATTATTAATACTGTAGAGTGTATTAGGGAAAATGGCTGTAAGCCTGTAAGAACTTGTTGTTTTGTTTAAACTTATAGGATATTATTACTAAAATTTAGAACAATTATAACTTTCTTCTTCAAAATATATTCAAAACCACTTCCCAGCAAGGTACTACTGTAGCTGTAGGACTTTGGCAGTGTAGTCAATGCAGTATTGAGTATGGCTCCAAAGTCCAACCTCCTGTCCCTCTATTAAAGTTGTAAAATCAGACTATAACTCGATTGATAATACTTTCATTTTGAAGAATCTCAATATAGTATATCTTTAAATAATAAACATCATAATCACTCATGCCAGTGAAAAGCCATTAAACTTGCTGTCCCACAGTTTATATTCATGCCAATGGGTATACTCAAATGTGTTAAAATTAAACCTTTTCATATTAAATATTTATAAATATATAGTATTCAATATATAGAAGGATACTGGTATTGGCCGTTCGAGCCAGGGCATCTTCTCTTCTTCTTCTCGCAATATGGAAAGGCATTCAAAAGTCTCTTTCCAAAGGTGGCACAATTCAAGACAGCAAGTCCATGTTTTAGGCATTCAGAAGAGAAGGCATTGTATGCTTCTTGTACTGGCAACGTATTGTTAGGCGAGTAGCAGAATTTAGAAGTTAATCTGAAACAAACACCGTAAATATTTCAGTTAATGTTATCTCATATTCAAATGATATAAATATTCAAATTAGGTTTACTTACATTTCGTTATGTAAATTTTTTTCAGCCATTCGTTACTGCGTCGATCATTCCCTGTCTTCGCCTTTGAATATTCGCGCCAATTTTGTATAAATGTTCCTAGCAACGGCCCCGTTCCTAGCAACGTACTACGAGCATCAGACGATAAAATTTGGCTTATTGACCGAAGTTTCACTCCCCCTTTATTTTTCCCCCTTCGTCTTGTCCCTCGGAATTCCTTCGGAATTCCTTCGGTGAAATCAAGAAAACAGCCGCGCCCGCTATACCAATTAAAGCGGGAATACGCTTGAAAACAATTTTGAATTTGCTTTGATTTGCCAACGAATCGCACGCTGTATTTTATATGAATATATGAATATTAAAGCGGGGAATCACATAAAAATATGCATATAGAAAGACCAAAAAACAAGTAAGTGAACGATCATGTTTATAGTTTATTAAATAAAGAAGTCAAATATCGGACTGCTGTGTTCCCTTGAATATATCACCATTGGAGTTCGGAATTGTGCGCGTGCGTATAAGTCCATATAAGTCTATATATGGGCTAATAAACGAAAAATGCACCACAAGCATGGCACGAGCCGACTATTACGTACATAAATACAAGCTTCTTACTATTATATATGAATCGTGGAGTCGAAGAATCGATGGCATTTTGGATTAATCGTTGCACCCTGAGTGAGCCTGCGATGCGCGAACGCAAACTCGATTTCTCGACGACGAAAAAAACAGAAGAAAACAGAAAACTAGGGATTTAAGACACTTGACCTTTCAGGTCAGTGTAATAAGGATTATTTAAAATAGGGGGAGTGTGTCGTGAACGTTTATACAGTTACATTTATAGATCAGTAGTGTTAATATTATTAAGGAAATGTACAATTTGATTGACACTTCGGATATAGTACATAACATGTGAGCGAGCGTTGATTTTAGAACGGGAATTATAACTTAAACAAAACGTGATATTATAAAGTCTTTACTTCTTCGAACCGATTGTGGGAACCAAACTAAACTTCACCACAATAGTTTATATACTTACTGTAATATTGCTAGAATATTTCATAGTTGATTTACATGTAATATTTATAACACACAAAATCTTGACACAAAACAGATATGCTGCTTGGAAACAGCGTGCAATATTGTTATTTACTAATAAATAGATGCAGCCAGCCAATACACAAATCCGTGCAGTATATTAATGGCATATATTAAAAAAGTTTTCAGGTGTCCAAAAAAAATACCTGCACTATCGTGGTAAGTCCATACCAAGTTAATATCTCTAACATATAAGTTTTAGGTTTTTATATATCAAGCCATTGATATTTGAGTGATCAAGATAGGTATTTATAACTGACCATTTGTTCCAGGCTTAATTGCATGATACCATTGTAAAATCGTCTGGCGTTAGGCAGAGTAAAATATAAAGTAGGGTACATCTGGGCACATATATTGCCACTTATAATTGAAGGGTTAATATAGAAATTTTGTATTTCAGAAAGTATTACAATGCTTTTGAAAGGGATAATTTTAAGTGAAACCCACCTGTTGTGGACTTAAAAGTAAAATTGTGAACTGATGATGCAGAACCACTGGTAGCTAGGGATTGTGGGGCACTAAATTTACTGTTTTCGTAAATTTTTGTCCAAGCAATTAAGTTATAAAGAACAGAATAATAGTGTTGCCACATTCATGTAGTTATAGGCAAATGGTTGATTTGTCAAATATCAATTATGGATTGTTTCATTATAAATACTGGAATGCTGATACTGGATGGTTGTACAATAAGCAAAATTTGCCTTAGGGCCTGTTTATATGGAAGCTGGGCTGGCCCGCGCTTAGCAAAGCGGGATGAATTTCTCTCGTGTTTATATGAGAAAATTTCATCCCGCTTGCCGGGACAATTTTGTTACATTGTATTGTTTTGACAGTTGTTAAAAATAGCTTGCGGCGGTATCTTTGAACTTTCATCCCGGCAACCAGCCTAGCCTGCTTGTGAGTGTTTATATGGAGAAATTTCCATCCCGGTAAGCGTGATCTCGCCTCTTTCAAGCGAGTCCATATAAACGCACAATAATTTTTACTATAAAAATAACTACACAGCGAGATCTCGCTTACCGGGCTGTCTCACTTAGCGGGCCAGCCCGGCTTCCACATAAACAGGCCATATAAACAGGCCATGTAAATTTAGTAAGCCAGCATCTAGGCTGGCTTGCATTACATATAAAACATCCCCTATAATCCTACAATAGTTGGAAAAAATTAAGAAGTAAAACAAATCTATAATGAAATATATTTCCCTTCAATATATGCAATTTGTAGTTAGTTGTATATATAGGCACAAAAATGGCTGAAATAGTTTAAAATTCAATACAATGTCATTGTGTTGACATGAAAATATTCTGTTTTTGTAGCCCATAGGTGTTAATTTAAACCATGAGATGCTCAATCGTATGAACTATGAATGCAGATTTGCAGTGTAGTGGCATAGACTTGTCTATGTAAGATATATTGAGCATTAATTGCATGGTTTAAATTAACACCTATGGCTACAAAAACAGTTGGTAGAATATTTTCATGTCAACACAATGACATTTTATTGAATTTTAAACTATTTCAGCCATTTTTGTGCCTATATATACAACTATAACTACAAGTTGCATATATTGAAGGGAAATTTACTTCTTAATTTTTTCCAACTATAGTAGGATTATGGGGGATGTTTATATTATGTAATGCAAGCCAGCCGAGATACTGGCTTTAGTGGCTTACTTTACTAAGGCAAATTTTGCTTATTGTACAACCATCCATGCAGTATGAGCATTCCAGTGTTTATAATGAAACAATCATAATAGCTAGATATTTGACAAATCAACCATTTGCCTATAGAACTACATGAATGTGGCAACACTATTATTCGGGAAACGACAAAACGCGGACCCCAGGTCCATGGACTACCTTCGTGGACCTGGTCCATGCACTACACTTGTGGACCACGGACCACTCCCGTGGACCACTCTCGTGGACCACTCCCGTGGACCACTCTCGTGTACAATATCGCCTACCGAACAATAGACCAAGCACTATTAACCCGAGTTTAGGAAGCCGAGATTGGTGGGAACTATTTCATTATTCATTTCCATTATTTATTTCACAATCAATTCAGTTTTAGTTGATGAACAGTGAATACTAAGTCTGTAAAAATGCTGAAAAAATGTATTCAGGGTTCATTAAAAAATTATTATTATTATTATTATTATTAATGGTTTAAGATACACACCTTCGCAATAGATTGAATTATGGTGCGTTTACAAAATTGGTACGCTATATATTTACATATATAAAAATTTAGTTGCATGCATCAAGTCTAAAAATCTTATTGAATTGCATTAAAATCATCGTAATTAAGTATCACGCTTAAGTTTCTTTACTATAACTATTATATAGAGCTACTGTACTGGGAAAAAAGCTACGGCGATATCTTTCTGTTCGGCATTTTATTGTTGTTAATGTGTTAGAGTTTCTAAGTTCATAATCATTTGAACTAGCCCTAGACAGTGGAACATATTTTGACAGTGGTCCTTCAATTTCTATGCGTTTCATAGTATTGAGGCAATGTCGTTCTCGCCTTTCATCCAATCTGGAACACCCAAGTTGTGCTAATGCTTCCCTATAAGAGTAACCCGGTAAAATAATCCTCAGCGCTCGTTTTTGCACTCGCTCTAAATCATCGGCGAGGTACAAAGGTAGGGCATGATGCCATACCACACAACAGTACTCCAGAACCGATCGTATTAAGGCAAAGTATATACTCAATAAGTCTTCCGCAGGGACACCACCTCGTCGTAATATGCGGATGATATATAAACGTTTAGAAGCCTTGGATACAACTGATTCTATGTGTGCATTCCATTTAAGATCGTTTTGGATAACCAGACCTAGGACTTTATGAGACCGCACAACCTCAAGCGCATGACCGTCGATCAACAATGGTGATAGATCAGGTGATTCCCTCAGAAAGCAAACGCGTAGTTCTTTGCACTTTTTGGAGTTAAGTTTCATAAGGTTGCACGAAGCCCAAGAATTTATAGTATCAATACAGAACTGAAACTTTGAGTTGCTGCCCTTTGTGATATTTTCAGATGTTGATATGTCATCCACAAATTTCCAAATATCCGTTGCGTGTGGTTTCACATCGAGATCATTTATCATCGCCAAAAACAGAATTGGACCGAGTTTAGTTCCCTGGGGGACACCCGCATTCATTGGCAACCAGTCTGACGTTTTCCCTCCAAGTTTGACCCGATGACGGCGGTTAGTTAGGAAGTTGATAATCCAAGGCAACAGGGACGATCTAACACCTAGGTCCAACAGCTTTAATATTAGTAAATTATGTCCTATACGGTCAAACGCCTTTTCGAAGTCAAGGAAACAAAGTCTAAGATGTTTTTCAGGACACTCTAAGTTGCACAACCAAGTGTGGATCATGTCTAAAAGACAATAGGTTGTGGATGTTCCTTTCAAGCATCCAAACTGCTTGGGGTCGATCTTGTCTTTAATATCGGTTATCATCCACCCGACCACGAAATCTTCAAGAACCTTAGCCAGGCAGGGTGTCAGTGAGATGGGTCTGGTGTCACCTTCACAGGTAGGAGGTTGTGATTTTGGAACTGGTATGATGTCTGAGTCTTTCCATATTGCAGGCACGATTCCAGATGAAAGTGATTCGTTGAAAATAGTTGCAACAGGTTCGGCTAATTCATGGGCATACTCTTTCAGGATACGACAGGGGACGTTATCTGGGCCGTGAGCTTTAAAAGGTTTAATTTCTAAGAGCTTTTTACATACTTCATGCGGTTGAACTGTTGGAGCAGGTTCTTTGGCCGGAAGAAATGCGGGGAGTGTCGCTAAATTAAGTGGTGGAATGTCACTATTCACCGATGCATAGAACACATTCAAAGCTCTAACTAATTCTGATTGATCCAGAGTTCTTCCATCATGTTCAAGCGAGAAGGAGTTCTTTCCAGATTTTCCTGCCATTTTATTTACGATTTTCCACCACATACGGCAGTCATCCTTCTTTAAATGTTGTACCTTTGTTTTGTAGTACGATATTTTCCTCGCATTGATTTCATGTTGGACCTTATATTTCAACGATTTCCACAAGATTGTATTATGACTATGAAACGCCTTTTGTCGATATTTGATAAGCTGTTTTATTGCAGGTGTTATCCATGGTTTATCGGTGTGATGACGTGTTGACGTCTGTTGTGGGAAGATTCGGTCAATACTTTCTGTTAACTGGTTTGTAAACGAGATTGCCAAGCTATCAACAGTAGGGTTGGGTTCAAGGTCACAAAACCAATTATGTGTGGTAACCCATCTTCCGAAAGCATCTATTCCTGATCTGGGATAGCGCCGTACTAAGGATTTAACAGGTTTTGCTTGGATGTTGTGGCTGGGAATGCTATCGACTGAAGGTAGCCAGTGTACAATATTATGGTCACTGGATCCTAATGGAGCAAGGACATTAGGGCGGTCATATAAATTATACAGGTTTGTAAGAATAAGATCGAGTATTGCTGATTCTCTAGTGGGTTGGTCAACAACTTGTTTAAGATTTTGACTGGTGGTCAAACTGCGAGTTTCAAGATCATTAAAATCACCCATAATTACTAGACCAAGGTCAGGGTGGTTATTTCGAAGTAGGTCAATAGTGTTAATTAAATGTTCATTAAGATCACTGTGTTCCGATATTGTCAGACCAGGTGGGTGATACACGACACAGATAACGATACCGGATAGAGGTCTAGGGAGGCGTTTCGGTCGAATGCTCAGCCATAAGCATTCTAAATTCTCACTTTCTAGGTCTACCCGTCGTATACAGGGGATGTCTTTTTTAATATAAGCACAAACTCCGCCACCTCGTCCAATTGCGCGATCTTTACGGAATAAATTGTAATCGTTAATTGACAATAAGCTGCTGTCTATGTGTTCGTGTAACCATGATTCAGTTATTGCGATAATGTCAATGGGCTTGAAACTTAGTAATGCTGTCAATTCGTCCAGCTTTGGAAGGAGTGAGCGGGAATTAAGTAAAAAGAAACATGGGAGTATCATTTCTTTGTTAACCTTATAAGCATGGTTTAAAGTTGTAATATGGATTAGGTTGGAGGAGGGAAAATAGCAATTCTTGCGCTTCTTGTGCTGTTTAAACGTTCTAGAACGATCTGTAATATGGACGGAGATGTTCGTTCTATTTTTGGTTTCATTTGGTGTCGATATTTTATGTAAGGTTAAAGAGGACTGTGGACTTATTCCATCCGGGATGTATAGGAAAGAGGTTTCGCTATTCAAAAAACGAGGGGTCACATTGGTATAGTCAATAATCTCAGTTGGGTAAAAGTTTAGGTCATTATCGTCATTATCGCTAATTTGTACAGGATCACCATTATCACGGACAATTTCCGCGTGGAATAAGTGACTTCGAGAGGTTATTTGTTCTTCGTTACTTGACGCACAAACTCGAGATAGACTGACCATTCTTTCATTCGGGAACGACGAAAATTCTGATTTACTGAATGTTTGAGACGATTGTGCTTGGGGAAATGTAGTTGAAAACCCCGAGTACGGTTTTGTGATGGTTGTTGTCGTGTAGCTTGATACTGATTAGGTTTCTTGCAGCTAGTAGTTTTACTAGAATAAGTTCTATTGGAGCGACTACGAGTGTGTGTGCGGCTGGAAGTACACGTACAAGACGTATCAATCAAGGGTAAGGAGTTAATCCAGGATGAATTTTGCCGTAAAGATCGCGAGTTGGGTAAAATACTTTTCCTATGCGATTTGACATTCTGACCTTCAGATGGATTAGGGCCACTTGGGTTATGAATAAACTGGTCACTACTATAAACTTTAGAGATCTCTCCCTCAGAGCGTTTTTCCGACTGCAACGAGGCGTTCAAATTAGTATTTACCTCGTGACTAGCTTGTATATTAGCTGCCATAGGTTGACTAACCCTTTCGTTTTCCTCATTACTATCCTCGGGTTTATTGTCATTCGGTTTTAGACATACATCCTTCATATTATCACGTACCGGTGATTCCACCTCAATACGGTCATTATTGATTTGATCACATTCTTTGGTCCGATTCAGGAATGGAAGAATTCCGCATTGTTTTGATTTCAAAAGTTTAACTGAATTTATGCGCATTATTGTTTCACTTAAAGATTCATTACTCGCTTCAATTGACTTGAGTTTATTCTCAAGGCAGACAATAGTATTATTCAAATCATTTATCTCCTGATTTCTTCCCCTGACTAAAATAGTTAAATCGGACTCAAGACGACTGTTTTTATCTTTTTCATGAGCAAGTTCTCGCTTAAGTTGGCTTACATTGGTACGTTCGGTCGCAAATAGGAATACTGTGGAGAATTTGGAGGGGGGGGGGGAGGGTGGTCAAAGGATTTTACTGAATTATTCGAATTTTACTGTTAAAAAATCACTTGAACTGTAGACGTCGTAAGTTGCAATGACCTTTCAATGCCTGAAGGTCCTCTCCCAAAAATATTAATTTTTGAAGCTTGATTACTGCTTTTTAAGGGCATATATTCGGAAACTTTGCATTAAAGTCATAATTGTACACTTATATTTTAGAACGGTCATATAATGAATGGATTTAGAACTTCACATTTTGTGTAAAGTTTCCACAATGATAATAATGACTGAACTCGACTCAAGCACATTTTTCCATGCACAGTCAAGAATTCAAACCCAAAAAATCTGGTGTCTCGCAAGCGGTCCACGAGAGTGGTCCACGGGAGTGGTCCGTGGTCCACAAAGGTAGTCCATGGACCAGGTCCACGAAGATAGTCCACGGACCTGCCCCGGCGAAAATTTGATGAATTATTCATGAAAAATTCATGAATTTTGTTCATGAACTTCCATCAAAAGTACATGAACTCTTCATGAATGTGCATGAACGTTAAATGGCACAGTTCATGAAAGTAACAGTTCATGAATAACAAGTTCATGAACTTTTTTGTTCATGAACAGTTCATGAACTAATATTCATGCATTTTTGAAGAGCAAATCATGAGCTATATTCATGAACTTTTCATGAATTTTCTCATGAACATTAAATGGCACAGTTCATGAAAATTGCTGTTCATGAATACTTCATGATCTTGTAATCATGAACATTTCATGAATCATTCACGAATAATTCATGAATAATTCATGTAGCGTTTCATGAATTCCTCATGAATTTTCATGAAGTGATTCATGAACACTTCATGGCACAGTTCATGATCAATATGCATGAAATGTTCATGAACTGATTTAGATTTCTAAAATTGGAAACAATATTATAACATAGTTCATAATCTTTACTCTATGAGAATGGGCCTGTCAATGAAATCGTATAATTATAATATACGAACCATGCACTTATGAATCGTTTGGGAAAAGGCTCATGAAATTATTCACCAACATTTTATGAATTTTAACTAGTCTTTAGAATCCAGCTACACTTCAATTTTTACCTATACTGTGTACAGTTAAACTATTACAAGGTTGTCTTTACTATATGTGTTCATATGCAGTTCAGTATGACATGCAAACTTAAAAATAACTAGTCAATCTTCATGCACGCATTTCTTACTAAAACTTACTGTCAAAACAGCTGAAATAACAAATTAAGTCGTCCGACCAGTCATGCCGCATTTTACCACAGGGCAAACTCGCAAACAATTAAGGCAACAAATGGCATGAACCTCGTTATACATCCATTAACAAAATCGCGTATTTGCGTATAGATTATATAGGAGTTTATTTAGGCATTTCTTGGTCAAATGTGTGCTCGTAATAATCTATATAGTGTACATTATGAATGCTAAGAAATGAAATACGTTCCACTTTTACGAGTCTTCTTAATTCAATAATAATTCTCATTCGAATAAGTTGATGGCAAAATCATGCACGACTATATATAAATTTAATCGATTTCAAAACTCGATTTCTTATATACTGTATATACAGTTCATCACAGTATTATCACTTCGACTCTGTCTCGATCCGTACAATATTTGCGCCATGCGGTTGCGCTGTCATACCATAGAAAATTTAGCTACTGTAAGATCAATACTTGGCAATTAAAGATTGAGGAGACACCTATAGTTCCGAGTATATGTACACTATGTTTGTTAAACATTTGATATAACGCATTTATTGAAACCTTTTGGGCATATTAATTTATGGCCGTATTAAAAACGGTGATCCGATATACTATATTATAACTTACTTGATTGCGCTTAATTTGCGCTATACTATTTGCTGGAATTTCGCTGACGTAGCTATACCCCTCCTGGTAGTTTCACCAACATTGTATTCTTGAAATGCATATCCAAGCCAACAAACTCCAGTAAACCCAGCAAGAACAATGAAGAACAAAACTGAAGTGCTGCGTTATAAAAGCACGCAAATTTGTCTTCCCACACTAAATGTGAGCTGTATTTGACTATTTGTATATAGCTCGAGGCTTGGCCGTCAGCCTGTCTACATTGGCCAAGATGCGCAAACCTGATTAGATATCAGATAAAATTGGCAGAAAAGACGTTCAGAGTTCGATTAATGTAGAAATGAATAATATAAAAGTATATAGACCTTTAAGACAGCTTTTTCTATATATTGACTATAACCACGCATCAACTAATGTTTCAGAAATTGCACTTTTTCAAATGTCACTCAATTTGAAATGACAAATTTAATACAGACTACAGTAGTGAATATAGTGTATAATTCTTTACAGACTCGTAATATACGATCGTAAAGTTAATATCATTAAACATGCATCGACATTCATTAAATTAATACATTTTATGAATTATTTATGATGTATTATAATCCACTAAAACTGTTCATGAATAGTTCATGGTAGTTCACAAAGCGAAATCATGAACGTTCATGAATCAGTACAAATTCATCAAAATTTCATGATATGTTCATCAAGTAAATTCTATGAATTTTTCATGAATAATCGGTTCATGAAATATTCAAATGAACATTCATGAACATTCATGAACTATTCTGTTCAAAACAAAAAGTTCATGAACTGATTGGCCATTCATCAACTGTTCATGAACAGTTCATGAAGAGCATTCAAGAACACTTCATGAACACTTGTTCATGAACCATAGGTAAAATATTTGATGAGCGGAGCATGAACTGTTCATGAATTTACATGAACGTTCATGAATGCACCATCAAAGTTCATGACTTCATGAACAAATTTTCGCCGGGGTGGGGTCCGCGTTTTGTCGTTTACCCTATTATTCTGTTCTTTATAACTTAATTGCTTGGACAAAAATGGGAAAGTACAAAACATGGACCCCCGGTCCATGGACCCCCGGTCCATGGACCCCCGGTCCATGGACCCCTTGTCTGGACCGGGTCCATGGACCCCCTCCATGGGCCGCATTTTTCCAAATTTCAATATTTAACTGTTAATAAACATGATTCGAGTTTTCAATTTTTAAAAATATTTTAGTGGTTTTAAAGCATACTTTTGTTCTTAGCAGCAAACCTCATCTACACTCCAGTGTTTTCTTCATATAATTAAGCGAGGCTTGCTAACGACATATCATGACAAATCAATGCACCATGTGAATAATAATAGTGTTACTGACTTGCAAAGCCGTTCAATGATCACAGCCTATGAAATTAAAGAAACCACTGCCAGCAAAGTGTTGAAATAATAAACCACTTTCATTCATGATTGTGCATCTTAATTAGCCTTCTTGGTTCAATATACAAAAAAGTGTTTCAATTTGTCTCTTATGAAATAAAGGCACTGTTCATAATCAGCAATTTGACTTGCTTCAATTAATACATTTTTGTGAGCTGTGCACTAGCTAGCTGGATGTATTTGTTATTTGGAACAAATTAATAGAACATTTTGACCTTGCAAGTAAATTTAATTGTTTTCTCCCTGTACAGGGTTATTTATATTCAGGTGTATTCAAAATTCCTGATAACATTATTCATAGATGGGGCCATTGAAGAATCGCAGGTCCATGGACCCGGTCCATAAAGGGGGTCCATGGACCCGGTCCAGACAAGGGGTCCATGGACCGGGGGTCCATGTTTTGTACTTTCCCGACAAAAATCTATGAAAACAGTAAATTTAGTGCGCCACAATCCCTAGCAGTATTCCTAGCAGTATTCCTAGCAATATCCCTATCCCAGTGGTTCTGCATCATCAGTTCACAATTTTATTTTAAGTCCACGTAACAGGTGGGTTTCACTTAAAATTATCTCTTTCAAAAGCATTGTAATACTTTATGAAATACAAGATTTCTATATTTATTTTATGTGGCCTAAATAACAACGCTGTTTCCAAGCAGCATATCTGTTTATTGTCAAGATTTTGTGTTATAAATATTACATGTAAATCGACTATGAAATATTCTAGCAGTATTAAGTATATAAACATAATAAACTATATTTTTATCAACATACCATGCGAGGTGAACAAAATCCGCATTAAAATCACTTCAAATATTGTACAACTGAACAAGTCACACGACAAGAGAAACAATATTATTTGCTTGATTGTATTTAAAAATAAACAAGACGCTCTGTGGAGCGTTAACTCGCTGGGGCTACACAACTGAGTACTGACGCACATTACTGTTAAGATCTAAAGGCCTGATTCCACGAACGCTTTTTGTCGGCGAAATGCGAATTATTTTGCCTGTTTCTTTTCCTCATCTACACTAGTCCAGTGTTTTCTTCATACTAAACCGAGGCTTGCTAACGACATATCATGACAAAT